AATAAATTATAAATTTTACTGTTGATATTAGATGATAATAATAATAATAATGTATTTTTATTGATATAATTTTTTTTCAGAATACATAAAAATATAGAATGTTCTTGTTATGTCTCGCTGGTACCCGTCCAGAAATGAAGGGAGGATGGCGTACACGTCCCTAGCCCAAAAATATTTTCCAAATTTGTTTAAAGAAATTGGTAAAAAAAAATTTTTCATTGTGTTTGCAAACTGAAGAAGAGCCTGTATGGCTTGAAGCAAGCACTGAGACAGTGGTACAAGAAGCTTGAGTCTGTTATGGGGGAGCATGGCTATGGAAATACTACTTCAGATCATTGTGTTTCTATTCTCTGATGATGACTACATTGTTTTTGCTCTATGTGGTTGATATGGTGACTGTTGGTCAGAATTCATGGCTTGAAGATACAGCTAAGTAAGTCTTTTTCATGAAAGACTTAGGACCAGCAAAGCAAATTCTTGGCATGAAGATAGAAGAGCCAAGAAATTATGGTTGTCACAGGAGAAGTACATTGAGAAAGATTTTCCATTTCTTCTGTATCAATTAATCCACTTTCTCCAAAACGACGAAATAAATCAATATCATAACTTCAACTTCTCAAACCCCTTTGAGTTTTACAGAGATTTATATGATTTCAAAAGTATTAATTTACAGAGATTATACTGTATATACAATATGCATAAGGATCTACAATCATGATTTCATGAAACACAACATTGTATATTGCAATTATCGCTTTAAGCCAGAAACTAGATAACACAAATGAACATATTATCTAATTTTTCATCCTTTCCAAAATCTCGTCTGAAGTGTTGTGCGGTGCCCACTCAAGTGGGACCCATAATAAATTTGAAAGGAAAATAAATTGGAAAAGAAAAAGAAAAAATCAACCCGGTTTGATTTATTTTCAAAGGTTGGCAGCCAACCATTCAAAGGTTGGCATGCCTTTTGACAAACCTGAGTGTCGTGCATTGGTAATGCACGACTCTCTCATATTCTCCCATTCCCTCTCCTATAAATAGGAAGATGGATTTCCTTATTTTATGTACAACACCAGAAATGTACGAGAGAGAGTGTTATAGTTTTAGGAAGGGCCTTACCTTAAAACGAAGGAGAGAAAAATAGTGAGGATTATTTGGAGTGTTTTTGGGAAAACTTGTGTGCCACTATTTTTGTATTAACTCTCTGTGTGACCTACTTATTGTTAATAGGCTGGAAGGAATTATTCGGAGTTCGTCCCGTGGACGTAGCCCTAAACAGTTGAGGGTGAACCACACGTAAATTTCCTTGTGTGTCACCAATGTGATTATTCCGCATGCGTTAATTTTCTCTTACTCAGAGTTGAAGGGCCCCAACGAGTGGATCAGAGCTTGATGCCCATAAATGTATCAGAAGCTGGTTCCTAACAAGAGCTTCTGGGCAAGATTGATTTCTATGGTGGATTTATTGAACTTATGAGATGCTGTTGGTGACTTGGTTTGAAAATTTATTCTGATATTCTTAAGGGTTTCTGTGTGTCACAATGTTGATTATTCCGCTGCGTTAATTTTCTCTTACTCGGTTGAAAGGGCCCAACGAGTGGTATCAGAGCTGATGCCCAATAAATGGTATCAGAGCTGGTTCCTAACAAAGCTCTGGGCAAGGATGATTTCTATGGTGGATTTTATTTGAACTTATGAGATGCTGTTGGTGACTTGGTTTTAAAATTTATTCTTGATATTCTGTAAGGGAATCCTTTGAGATTAATGAAACTCTTCTGGTTTTGATCCTAAAAGTAAATAATGTTCAAAATCTGTCTCAACTTATGCCAATTAGTTTATGTAACATCATTTATAAACTATGGACTAGAATGGTAGTAAATCATATAAAATCCTTTCTTTTTGATATTATTGGTCCCGAACAAAGTAGTTTTGTTATGGGGAGATAAATTTCTGATAATGTAGTGGTCTATCAAGAGGTCATTCATACTATGAAGTTAACAAGAGGAACTGTGGGTTATATGACTATCAAGATCGATTTGGAGAAAGATTATAATAGACTTAACTGGGAATTTATTAAATGGGTTCTTGTTGATATCGGATTTCCGAGGTTATGGGTCAATAATACCGTGAAATGTTCATTTTTCTTCTGTGTCTTTGTTATGGAATGGTAACAAGCTCCCTTCTTTTTAGCCTTCCAAAGGTGTTCGACAGGATCCAATATATCCATATCTATTTGTTTTGTGCATTGAAGTTCTTGCTCATATTATTCATCAAACTGAGAGGGATGGGGAATGGAAACATTGAAACTTTCTCAGAGGGGTCCAATTATTACTCATTTAATGTTCGTTGACGATATGGTTCTATTTATAGAACCCTCTAGGTTGCAGATGCAAGTTATTTTGTGAATTCTCAATCGTTTTGTTAAAGCCTCAGGTAATTACAACAGATTGAGAATTTTTGTTTCTTCTAATGTTCCAGCTTCTCTAGCCAATGAATTATCTACAATGTCCAATACTCCTCTTGCTATGGATTTTGGTGTTTATCTTCGCGTTCCTACAATTCATGGTCATTTTAATAAAATGAGAGACTTTGCTTCATATTTGCATGAAAAATAGTGAGAGAAGAATATTGATGAGAGAGATTTTGGCTTTGGAGAGAGAAAACGAAAGATAAAATTGATTGAAAAGATTTTGATTATGTAGATGGAGAGACGGAAAGAGAGTATGTGGGGAGTAACTAATCCAGTTAGGTAGCAAAATAGAGAAAAAAAAAAAAAAATAGATTTTGGGTTTTTGATAAAAACAATGTCGTAGAAAAAAAAAATCGGGTTCAATTCGGTACTATTGGTTTTTGATTTTTTTTATTTATTCGGTTCGATCCGATTTTTTATTAATTTAGTTTCAAATATCAAATTGAAATAAATCAGTCATCAGTTCACGACTTAATCGATCTAACTGGCCAATTCAATCCGATTTTAAAAACATTGATCAAAAGCCCATTTTGGTGCCCGGTATTGTGCTAGAGAAAATAAAATGATAATTTGAGGGAAAAAAACTAATCTACATTCGATCCATAGCTTCATTTATGGATCAAATTAATAAAATTAAATATTTTTATTAAAATAAAAATATTATTAAATATATATTTAAAAAAAATAAAATAAAATCGAAATGCTTTTTAGAGAATACTAAAATTTATTTATTTCATTTACGAGTGAAATCATAGATCAGGTCTAAAATTCTTTTTTCTAATTTGAGACTCTGCGGAAATCACGAAGCCCTCAACAAGGTCACGTCAAGGAAGTTATACCCTGTCCCATTGGTTATTCGAAAGAAATTGGATTGAAAACTAGGAATGAAAATTCAAAAACGAAACCATCAATGATTAGACACGTGACCACAAAATTTAAGCCAGGTGTTAAAAACGAAAGACTAGCTAAACCATTAGATTACATATATGGTGGGCCCCAATTACTAAGGGAACAATAAAAATCCTGACACTGAAAATTACATGATGATGAAACCAAATCCAAGCCACAAAAATAACTGTCACCATTTTAAAAATATTTTTAACGGACATTAAATTTTAAAAATATGTTTAACGAACATTACCAGTAATTATACTATCCATTTAACAACTTCCATCTGAAAAAGCGCCTGTATTTTAGTATTTTATATCACAAAACAAAGACACATTTCTCTCGCACCTACCTTCTTCCATGACCAGAAGTGCTCGTGCAGAGAAATGGCGCTATCTCCTCATCTTCTTCAATTTCCAGTCCACTCTTCATCTCCGCCACCTGACTGTCTCCTCTTCTATCCCTCTGCATGGCAATCTCCTTTAATTTCTGTCAACAAGGCCAAGATTCCTCTGGTTCCAATTGCGCTTAAGGTATCTGCTAGAGTAAGATGCTTAACGAAGTCCACAAAGGAGGATCGCTTGGGTGAGACAGAGACTCTGGTTTCTGATGATGGTGATGATGGCGGAGAAGCCAGGGAAGACACGAAAATCCAACATCATCCGCAGAGGATCGCCACAGCCAATTCGTACAGCGATTCTCTCTCGCTTGGGATTCGGGAGCCGGTTTATGAGGTTTGCAGGTTCACCCTTTTTTTCTTTTGTTGTTTTTGTATAATTTTCTGTAATTTTCTTTCTGCAATTTTTAGCTTCATTGCCACTTTAGTAGCACTGTATGTGAATACACAAATTGCCGGCTATTTTTTTTTTTTAATTATTCTTGGGGAGGTCCGGGCCAAAGTAGCATTGTGGGCTACACACAGAGGTAGCGCTTCCTCTTGCTCACCAAATTGGTCAAAAACTCTTGAGAGGACGTGAACATGAGACCTATTGTTAACCATATAAGCAAGAAGACCAACCAGATCATACCTGATTGGTGTAATCTTGCTTTTGTTGTTTGTTTGTTTACGTATAGTAACTAAAATTTGAGTTGTTGGATTGATATATATATATATATATATATTTTATATATTATTAATCCAAGTACAATGGATCAACTTTTGGTGCAAGTTTTGATGCTTATATAATTAACTTAATTTGTTTGGAAATTTATGATCAACCAAGTAATAACTTGATAGTTTTTAGATATCATCTCGTATGAGCATATCTCTACTTTTGTAGGACAAAATCTTTTACTCTGTTTAATTGCATCGTTAGGAAAGCAAATAAAAAATGAAAACCTACTTTTAGGAACTTCTTATGCATCAGGGAAGAGTGTAGTAGTGAAATAGCTTTGTTAAATGTAACAACAATATGGATAAATAACGCCAGGAGTAGTGTAGTAGAAGGTGCTGAATAGAAATACAGACATCTTTAGATGAGGATTAGCAGGAAAATTTTGGAAAATTGAATTTGGTTAAAGCTTGTCATTGTAATTTTGTAATTGCGTGTTGAAAGTTCTTCTTTTGTCTTGCTTAACAACTGGTGTTATTTCCTTATGAATGTTCCTTTCTTTTTCTTGCTGCAGGTTGTAGAAGTGAAGTCAAATGGGATGGTATCTACAAGGAAAATAAGTAGACGTCAATTATTGAAGTCAAGTGGTGGGTCATCAACTGCAGATTTTGTTTCCACTTAGTAGTAATAAATGTTTGTCAGATATCTATACTCCATTTATTATCTTACTCTTTTATCACATTAATCATGTGCTTCCAACATTATGTTTTCATTGCCAATTTTTTGATGGATAGAGAATCATATATTTATTTATGCAAAATAAATATGAGGCATCTTTCTTCTTATTTGTGTTCTGTTACCAGGTCTTCGCCCACGAGACATTCGGAGTGTTGATCCATCATTGTTCTTGACAAATTCAATGCCTTCCTTGCTGGTACCTTCTAGTCCTTTGATGGTTTTTATTATGTTACATGCTTGTTTGGATTTATTTTTTTGGCCTGCCTTCTGACTTTATAATGTTTTGCAGTGGTTGTTACTCTTTAAGAGTTTGTAATAATTGTATGTCAAACTGATTTGCCTTCAGTTTTAGTATTGCATTTGATTTCTTTGATTCTTTCTAATTGCAAATCTTTGTAATTAGCATATCAATGAACATTAACTGATTAAAAGATGAACATGGCCTTTCTGATTGAGCTTTTTGGAATCTTTGCTATGAATATTCTGGCATCTTTAATATCAATAGTCTTCTGTTTGTTGTGATTAACTGATTGAATACACTTCTAGGTTCGCGAGCATGCTATCTTGTTAAATCTGGGGTCATTAAGAGCAATAGCAATGCGAGAGTGTGTCCTCATATTTGACTATAACCGGTAAGTTATCTCCTCTTTCTTCTCCTCCTTTCTTCTTATTTGATAAACATCTCTTCATTTATATTTTTTTTAAATTGAACTGACGGTAGAAGATTTCTTGCCTGTTTAAATCCTTTTTAGTAAAGGAGGGAAAGCTTTTATAGATACATTGTTGCCTCGGTTAAACCCCAGAAATATCAACGGAGGGCCATGTATGCCATTTGAGCTTGAGGTCAGTCTGGTCTCCTGCATTTCTAATTTTATGAACAGAAACATGAAGATGTCTAGGTGAATGTATTTCTTCTTCTTGATGCCACAATTTGTCAAATGATATGTTTTTCATTGCTAGTGATAATTATATATGTTAATGCATAGAACTTGCTTTGTGCACATTGTGCATGCCAATTATTTAATCAACCAAAGCATTCTCGTATCTCACTTGAGTCTTCTCTCACACCTTCAATATAAAAGAGGAGGTGCGTGAAATCTACCTTCTTTAGAACTCATGCAAACACACATTATATAGAATGGGAAAAATGGTGGATTAGAGAAGATGTTGAAGTCATGACATGGGAATTGGGAAAATTGAATTTTCCTTTTCGAAGTGGCAGTCAGTTTCAGAACTTACACAAACTTATAAGAAGGAAAGGAATATCTAAGAGAACTATGTTAGTATGCACAACAGTCCAATTGATTGATGCTGAACAAACTCCAAAATATAATTTCCTAGATGTTTTAATGTCACAACGAAATAGTTAAGACAAAAAAGTTCATTATGTCGAACAAACAGAGCCATATTTCTATTAGCAGAACAACTTAGCTTTAGAAAATTGGGTAACTCAAATTCCATATGCACTAAGCCTAGCGTTCCTTTTGTAGTTCAGTGGATGTCTTCCCATCACACAATCAAGGGAAAAGCATGAGGCTCGCACTGTGTATTGAAATTCTCAGCTCTATGGCTCTAAGATATCTATGAATCAAAGAATGCAGCACTGAGGTGTAAAGTTTCCCATGTTACAAAGAGCGTGCATTGTGCAGTCTGTTTGCCAATTGAACTCACTTATTCACCTTAAATATAGTATTTTTCACAAGCAGAGTAACTATTGAACAATTTCCATTTAAGTCTATGTACCAGCTTTAGATGCCCACCCTCAGTGGTGGAACCGGAAAAAATAATTAGAGGGGGCGAAAAAAAATCTTCAAAATTTAGAGGGGCCGATATCGAAAAAAACCACTATTTTATAGGTAAAAAGTAAAATTGTCTATATTTTATAAGGTAAATTTCAAAAAAAATTTAAAATTAGGGGGGGCGGCTGCCGCTGTCAGCCACCCCCTAGTTCCGCCACTGCCACCCTATTAAGCATGTCTTGATGTTGCATGTATTTGTTTAGCGGATCTGTCAGCTCACATTTACATGTGCATTCTCATGCATAGTAGACCTCCAATGGAGTAGACTGTTCATCATTGGAACTGAAGCTATGCATCTGGAGGTAATTTGTTTGCACATGTATAGTTCCTATCGCAAGATTCTCTGCCAACCTTCACATATTTGTCAGCATATCTATTTGGCTTTCATCTAAGGTGGATTCCTACTATATGCTTATCATGCATTTGCCGGCATACTTTGTGCATTTGCTTGAAATTATGGTTGCATACAATTTTAACACAAACTCATCATGATATTTGTACTAAATTATCTTTATATCTATGGGTTTGAAGAGGCTTTTCTTTTTTAAATTTTCAGGTTGTTGAATCAGCATTGCTTTCACGAGTACAGCGTTTGGAGCAGAGATTAATGACTGTTGAACCACGTGTGAGTATGGAAACATCGTGAGTATGATTTTTAATGTCTTCTTTCTTTTGTTACATTAAAATTTTGGCTGTGGACAAATTTATTCTCTAACTGTAGCTAGTAGCATTCACCCTCGATAGAAGATATGTCTGGTCTTATCTTCATATTTTAGCAGATTAAATAGAGAATATATGGAAAGATCTTTTGTATTTTTTGAATAAGCATTTCACCAAAAAGTGATGAAATTTCTTTATCACGGAAGTTTTCTTATGTAGTTTAACATTTTCAATGGTAAACATGCCTTTGCTTCTACTTTGTGGTCCATAGGAAACCTTAGAGATACTCTTTTTGGGATGGGGATCGCAGTATTGTTCAGGAATTTGTCAATAGAGTTACATATTTTGGAAATCAAAATTAATTGACCACAAAGATTCTCTTACAATTGTTTGGATACAAACAAATGCATTCTACCTGACTTTAACTGAAAATACCCCTTATTGGATTTATTTGTTTGACTGGGATGATACTTGGAGAGTGGGGATAAGTACGTGTTGCTTCTATCAAGATGCATAACATATAAACGATTGGTCTTATTCCCAGGGAAAAAAATCCCCTCCTTTCTGTTAATACAATTTGATGAACTGTATGCTTCATGATTTTGATGTAATTTCCTTTCATGTTTTCTTGGATTTGGGTCTAGATTGTGGCCTTCCTTGAATGTACAGCAGTTTGATTAATCTGTTGCTATTTGCCTCAGGTTCAAGCTCTCTTAGAAGTCTTACCCAATCGGTTAACTGCTGACATACTGGAGGAACTCCGAATTAGCAAACAGACCTTGGTATAGATTATTTATTTGGATTGTCACAAATACCTGATAGTGGATTTGTCTTTGACTCTTGCATTTTCACCTGCATATGGAAGGTTGAATTAGGTTCAAGGGCAGGAGCTCTGAGACAGATGTTACTTGATCTTTTGGAGGACCCCCATGAAATACGCCGTATGTGCATAATGGGCAGAAACTGCACTCTTGTGAAGGGAAATGATGATATGGAATGTTCTGTTCCCTTAGAAAAGCAGATTGCTGAGGGTAAGCCATATAAATTTGTCATTATTTACTAGATTTGTATAAAAAAGTTATCAATGTGCACAAAATTTTAATGTAGGTTTTTTATGGGTTTGATTTTTGTAATTTTCAGAGGAGGAGGAAGAGATTGAGATGCTTTTGGAAAATTATCTTCAAAGGTTGTTCCTGCTTCTATTCCCATTGCTTTCAAAGCATATATAATTTTGCTGGTCTATTCTTTTTTCTTTCTAATGAATTTGAATGCTCTTAGGAATTCCTCTCTTAATTTTTCTTATGAGAAGATGCAGAAAAGTGCTAAGCTAGGAAGATCTCTTTGGGCATCAGCTCTGAACTGTAATAAAGAAAACCAATAATAATGTTTGTTGACATGATATAAAATTTAACTGTGAATCAACATTGATGCCTTTCCTTTGTATAACTGTGAATATTACCTTAGTTCTCAATGCTGACATTACATCTGTATTGATGGGGAATAGCCCTATAAGGTCATGGTTCTAATATTTTCCAGAACATTCAGATTGGTTCAGGAAAGTATCATTTTTATCATTTTAGCTCAACCTAAAGAAACGAGAAACTGCTTTCAGGAAGTGTTGCTCCACAAAGGGGGAAAAACACGAAAATTCTCCATGAAGATTCTAATTTTCTGGTGTGCATGAATTAACCTTTGTTACAACCATATTGCCTTCTTCTATCTGACATCATCTTATTGATATTGCAGATGTGAATCTTGTCATGGTCAGGCAGAACGACTTCTTGACTCTGCAAAGGAAATGGAAGATTCGATTGCTGTTAATTTAAGGTAAGTGATGGATTGGAAAATCCAAAGTACGTTAATTTTATCCAGTCTTTGTGATTGATTGCCGAGTTCTTTATATAAAGAAAAAGCCTCTCTCATTTGAGAGCTTTCTAGTCTTTTTATACCTCTAAAATGTTACCAATCCCAACTGATCCTGAAGATATCGGAGATAAGATCCTCAAATATCTTTCTATCATCATGCCTAAATGTTTTTAGGGAATTACCCTATTACTCCTTCTACCATCGGGTTCTTAGAATAGTTAATATTCTCAATATGCATCCTGGATACTATCATAACTTTGTGTCCTTTTCTATAGCATTATAGCTTCTGTCGTATTTTGTATCTTTTTTTCTTTTTTCATTTTGTTCCATATGTTTCCACTTCCTTTAAACATGCTACTTTGAGTCATGCTAAAAAATGCTTGTAAAATAAGGAAAAAGTCCCAGCATGGCCTACTTTATGGAACATAACTCTGTTGTTGGTGTAATCATAATAATTAATATGGCACAGACAATTATAAATATAAGCAGAAATATACTTAGAATAATTCAAATCACTCATTCATCTTTATTTTTTGGCACATGCATCAACCAAAATAGTCAGGACCAGTCAAAAGCCATTCCAGCGTGGAAAATTTTCTTTTACCTCAAGAACAACTCCAAGTCCGAGTCACTTCTAAAATTTGTTCATCAGTGCATGATGATTTTAAATTTATTGTCCCCTTCAGTTCTCTAATTCTGCACTTTTGTACTGTTTTCTTTATTAGCTCTCGGAGGCTTGAAGTGAGCAGAGTGGAATTACTTCTCCAGGTTGGGACATTTTGTGTGGCAGTTGGTGCTCTCGTTGCAGGTATGTCTTCCACCAGATGTGCCTATTACTGTGACACCATATTGTACGTAAACATCCTATAACTCCTTGGTTATATCACCTGTGGCCCAGTGACATTGATGAAACCCAACTCATAATACAGTCTAGAACAGTGTCCGTGGTCAGTACTTAATTATTTACAGCAAGACACTTTTTTGATACGAAGATAAGAACCGCTTTGATTACCTAAACAGTATAATGAACTCCTGAACTGATGTATCGACTTTTTGACCAGCATCACTATTTAATTATAGCACCTACTGCATTCGGAAAGTTGGGCTGCAAAATTTAGCACGAGTTTGCCCTAGTTGGCCATAGATCTTTCTTTCCAATTGCTCCTTGTATTCTCAACAGATTTACCACCCTGATATTCCAACAATAATAAGTGGATTACACGTTTTTTTGTGTAAAAACATGCAATGACACTGAAGCGAGTGGGGTATTTGTTAAATGGTGTTTACATTTTATGCTATTATCCCATTCCGTGGCTTGCGATGATATGCAAAATCAATGCTTGAAGAATCTATTTTATTCACGTGCTTATGGTTGTAGGTATATTTGGCATGAACTTGAAGTCCTATCTTGAAGAGCATGTGGTATGTTCGTCCAAAAGTTTTATGTTATAGTATTTTTTTTTTCCCAGGTTCCAAGGAAGAATTCATTATACCATATCATTTTTCTATTGCAGTTTGCGTTTTGGCTGACAACAGCTGGGATAATTATTGGTGCTGTTGTAGCATTTTTTCTGATGTATTGGTATCTCAGGATTAGGAAGATTCTGTAGCTTAACAACTATTCAGGTTAGGTAAGCTTTGTTTTTTCTAAATTAATTTCCTTATCCATATCATTTTGCTACTATTATCAATAAAAGATGAAAAATATCAGGTATCCAGAGTTATGAATCTTTATCATGATGTTAATGAAACCTGAAATTCATGTTTAATGACAGTCATCAGAACCTAATATTTTCTTCTTTTGATATTTTGCAGGTGATTACAAAGGCTAAGCACATATTAGGCCAATTAATTTTGATTACTTGAGTACTTACTAAATAACAATATGATTTTTAGTAGTAGTTACACACAGTAATATCACGCATTTCTCCAGAAGATAAAAATCTCCAAGAATGGAGTTAAATTTAATTGGTACATTCCACGGATTTTTGAAAGAGAGAAGGCGTTTGCCCATTGCAGCAGTTAAACAAGACAGGCTCTTCAGATGTATATTGGCATTTTACAACTGATGTATATTTTCTCCCTTAATCCCCTTTATTTTTCCCTCCTTGTATGTACTCCAGGAGTGCTTGGAGGACTGGTTTTCTTGGTGATAAATGATCTAGATATTCTTAAACAATATAATTTAAATTCTCCATAGCTAAAGTTTCCTTCATCCAGGGAAATATAGAAAGAAACCTTTGTAAAAAAAATTAAAAAAAAAAAAAAAAAAAAAAAAAAAAAAAAAAAAAAAACAAGAAATGGAAGGTTAAATTTAATTGGTACTTTTCCACGGATTTTTGAAAAGAGAAAGGCCGTTTGGCCCAATTGCAGAGTTAAACAAGACAAGGCCTTCTTTCAGAAAATGTATATTTGGCATTTTTACAACTGAATGTATATTTTCCTCCCTTAAATCCCCCTTTATTTTTCCCTCCTTGTACTTGTACTCCAGGAATGGGCTTTGGAGGAACTGGTTTTTCTTGGGTGGATAAATGATGTTAGAATAATTCTTAAACAATATAATTTAAATTCTCCCATAGCTAAAAAGTTTTCCTTCATCCAGGGAAATATAGAAAAGGAAACCTTTGGTAAAAAAAATTAAAAATAAGAATGGTTAAACTTTTTTTGGCGCTTTCTATGGACTTCATAATGTTTTTCCCTCGGCCTTAGGTTTTTTTAAAAAATTGCGTCCCTCATGGACCAAATAGACAACGTTGAAGGAAGAAAAAATAGAAAATAAGAAATAACTAATTGCAATTCAAATATTGCCAACTGTAATTCAAATCAAAATGATAAACTAACACCCTAGAAGCTTTGATAGACCATCAAAAAAAAAAAAAAAAAAAAAAAAAAAAAAAAAAAAAAAAAAAAAAAAACTGGTAGCACTTGCAGCTTCCTACTTGCAATGCAAATTCAATAATGTCTTTCCCTCGGCTAGTTACAAAATTGCGTCGCTCATGGGACAATAGACAAACGTTGAAGAAAGAAAAATAAGAATAAGAATAACTAATGCAATCAAATATGCAACTGTTAAATTCAATCCAAATGATAACTACACCCTAGAAGCTTGATAGACAATCATTTTGTTCGAAGGACACGCAGATGTTGAAAACATATGTAGATACCTGAGAGAACCTAACTTCCATCCCGTGATGCTTCCGGAGTTGAATCTGGACAGCAAAATATCTGTTTGATCTCGAATGACATGGGAAGCCAAAGTCCTCATAAAGAATGCAAAAGCATTTGTGGCAAAGTCGTGAAGAAGAAAAGGTTTGCATGAAAAGTTAAAAGGTTTTAAAACAATACTGACATGTCTATTTTGAAGAGTTGAGTGCGGGTGGATTCCTTCGTGTGGCTATGGAGTGCCATTAATAGCTATATTGCCTACTCCAGTTTCCATGGCTGCCTTCTCATCTTTCTCCCTCTTTTTCTCTGATATATTCCCATCAGTTGTATGCAATTGAATGGAAGGTGTGGCAGGTTTGAGCAGATGGGGCCCTGCAGTAATCCATGAGTGGCTAAGGCATTGAGCTGCTGTGGGCCTCTTTTCAGGTACAAAATCAAGTATGGGAACGAGGAAGTCGGCCATGTCAATTGCATCTTGCTCACTGAAATTATACTTCTCCATGAGTACCTTGTTGAGGGTCCAAAACCGCAATCTACGGATGTGCCTTAAATCTCCATGTTTATTGAAGAAATCCCTCGAATACTTACCTCCTAATGCAATCTGAGGTAATTATTAGCAGAGTTAATTGTTCAAGTGATTGTATAGTACTGCTAATTTTGCATTTGCAGCTAACAAATTCACAATATCTCTATTAAATAATATTTTATTCTCTTTAAATCAGCAAAGCATAAAGTTGTCTCACCTTACGTGGCATCACACCAATAAGCTCCATCATCAATGCCAAGTGATCCTGTAAGCATCAACTGGTAGGTTAAGACATGGACTGAGAGAGAGAGAGATAGAGAGAGAGCTGTTATCGTGTCCTTGAATCACAAGGTAAAGTACTAAGGGTTGATTGGGAGCAGAAATGTTGCCTTCTTTATTTTCTGATTTTATGAAGCAAAACAAGTTTAGTAATCACAATCACAAACAATGTTCGAAGAAAGAAATCAGGTAATAGGAATCATGTTTAATTAACAACTGAAAACAGAGAGCACAGCTAGAAAGGCACCAGTTCTATCATCCCTTGTACTGTAGTATATATTGAGAATGACATACAAGAGAACAAAAAGAAACATTAATGTTGAAAAAGCATGTGAATGTGATGCCATCCAATGTATCGTACTTGACTGGGACGAGATCCTACCAAATGAACTGAGATACTGTTACCCATAATGAACTGAGATACTGTTACCCATAATAAGACCACATCTCACATTTACGATGGCATAAAAATGAATACAATTATATATTATATTATATATGTGTGTGTGATCATCCAGAATACTTTTAAATCATAAATAGAACCTAAATTAAATGGATAGGAGTCGGGTCCGCATAATTTGCACATACCTCATCTCTATCATAGTTATCACCACTGTGAGGATCAAAGAGGACATCACCAGTAGCCAGCTCAAAGCAAATACAAGCAAAGGACCAAAGATCTGCTTGAGTTGAGTATTTAGATCCAAGAATAACCTCTGGACACCTATACTGCCTTGTCTGAATATCACTCGTGAATTGTTTGTATGTCCAACAAGCATTTCCAAAATCAACCAATTTGCACTTGAGATCAACTGCTGCTAACAGCTTTTGCCTTGTGGAACGGATGCCCCTTCTGCTACCATGTTTTTCTTGACAAGCATTCTTCTTTTCTTCACTCTTTGTTAATTCATCTTTAACCACAGAATTATTTGATTGTTCGTCAACAAAATCTTCATTCAATTTTGGATCACTGTTAGAATCCTCATGGACAGGGGTTTGAGGATCAGTCTTGTTTTCATCTGAAGCTTCTTTCCCTGCAGAAACTTGAGCTGCCTTCTTAGCTTTCTTGCGAATTTTCTTTTTCTGATTCTTGGTTAGGTCTCCATTTAAACTCTTGCTGTATTTTGAAGAAGCAGATTCAACAACAACTTTATTCTTGCTAGTTGGGAGAACGAGAGGACCTGATTTACAAGGATTCTTAGATGGATCTATCATTGACAAAAGCAAGATATTCTCTGGCTTTAAATCAGTGTGAATAATCGAAAGCTGCCGATGTAAGTAGTCCAAACCCACTAAAATATGAAAACATATTTCTTTGACCATGTGTAAAGGAACCCCTCCATAATCACTATACTTAATAAGGGTCAACAAATTATCTCCCAAGAACTCAAAAACCATACACATGTGATGTCCATTAGGCCCAGAGTGCTTAAAATAATCCAGAAGCTTTACAACACATTTTTTATCATCTGGGTCTCCCTCAGCAATCTGCTTGAGAATCTTTATCTCATCCATAGCTGCCTCTGTGTAGTGTTGAGCACTCTTTTGAACTTTCAAAGCTACATAACGCTACAAACAATGAATTTCTCATGTCGTTAAGGAGATGAACAATTAAAAACTGAGGAAGGACAAGAATCAGTTTCTAACATGAAAATAAGAAAAGTCATAGAAACGCAGCACCTTGCAGCCTAAATCTTGAAGAACTACAAAAAGAACAAGAAAAATTAAATCTAGAAAGAAGAATCAACTTCAGTGAACATTAAAACCTCAATCAAACTAAAAAACCAATATTATTACGCTTAATGCACAATCACAGTGGCTTAGTGAATACGATTTACTCTACAACATAAACAAAATCTGGTAAGTTTCACATCATTATACATTTTCCTGAGCTTTCTCATCAGTAAAACAGAGTAGTATATCAACACACAGAAACCAAAAATCCCCACATTTTTTATTCATTTTCTTTTCCCAGACGTTTCTCACCCACTGAACACAACTTCCTACATCATTGAAAGGAAAAGATGGGAAAGAACAATTAACGTACCAATCCTTGAATGTCCCATGCGAGCCAAACAGTAGAGAAATGACCCCAACCAAGCTTGCTCTGCACCACATAACGTCCATTCTTGAATTTATCCCCAACATGCACCGCATGGTATCCTCCTTTCCTGTAATCTTCAGTCCCCTCATCCTCAGACGTGTAGTCACTTGCCTCACTGCAGTTTTCAATTTTATCCTCCGCCATTGGAGGACTAAAAAGATAGAAAATTATTGAATGAGAAAGACAAACCTGAATTGGGTTTCTGGTCAATCTAGTGGCAAGAGTAAAAAAAACTTTGGTGATGAAATTGAAAAAAGAAAAGAAAAGAAAATTTCACAAATGGCCAGATATTGATTGAATTTATAAGATTGAATCCAAGAAATCGTAATACGGTTCTTGTTATAGAGCTAAATGGTCGACCAAAGTAGTGTGATTTGATTGGGATTTATTTAGCTTAACAGACAGTAAAGTTAGAGGTTTTTCGTATTGGCGATGGCGGTGGTTGCGGTGGTGGTGATGAGTGCATTAGGGTTTTTGAAGAGTATTAGTCTTGCCGGGAAATTAAAGAAACGAATTTTGTCTGGTCTGGAGGTTTGACCTGGGTCCCGCTTATCATCAAACGGTGAATGTTGTCCGGTTCCATCAGGCGGAATGCATTTTTTGTGAAAACCGAACAACATAAAGATCGATTTAGATTTAGTTTGGTTATTCCACTCCAAAATCACTTATTTTAGATGTAAAAAATTAATTCAGTTAGCCATATAAAATGGAACCAAAATTAAAAATCCAACAATATTATTTTCGTAACTAATCAATAATTCAATTCTAAAAGTCAATCGAATCAAAATAAATTGATTCGGTTTTTAGATTCAAATATTAATCGCCGGAATAAATTATCCAAAATCTTTTAATTTTGTGGATTATTTTAATTATAATTTAAATCCATTTTTATTTTTCTGGTACCTCCAGTTTGAACTTTATATACAATTGCATCTTAGTTTCAAATCGATCCTGATTTGATGAATATAATGTTATTTTATGGAACTATACTCTCTTTCAGGGTTAATCTAACCCAAGGAATGAGTTAGGTGAAACGGTGTGTTTCACTTATCTTAATCTAATCCCTTCATCGTCTTCATCCTTTCTCATCCTTCTCTCCTTTATGCAATGCTCATTCTAAATCTCCTTCATCTATCATTTTTTTCTGGCTTTAGAAGATTTTCCATGATTTCAAGCAAAATTAAAGTTCAGAGAAGGAGTGCACCGTCAAAACTTAGATAGGAAAGTCAAACACTAGTAATTATATCAAAGGTAAACAACATGATAATCACAAACTAACACAGACATGAAAATTTTCCATCATTCCAAACAACATGATGCAGCCTTCTCCGTTCTACTCTGTTGGCGATTTCTTGTTATACCTTCTCTTTTATTAGCGGTATTGAATCTGGGTACTTGTTTTCTCCATTATTGTTCCATTTGCTCCAACGATGCCTATAGCAACAATAATAAAAGGCTCAACTTGTTGAAGAAGTCACTGTATGGTTTCAGCGTCAGAACGGTGGCCAAGTTCTCGGGTCAGCTGGAAGATCCGGGAAACACAAAGAGCGGGCATTCGGACTCGCCTGTCAGCTATTGACTTTGATATGACGATCTATGGAAAGTAAGGTGGTCGATTTTCTAGGATGATTGAGTTTGAGCTGTGATTCGGTGATAGTCGTGGTGGCGGTTGGTAGTATTGAGTTTATGTTTGGGATTTCTTGAAAAGGTTAGTTATGAAGAACAATTTCAAAGATCAAAAGGAGAGGAGGGAGCTTGAATTTAACAGTTATTGTTTTTTTGGATTTCAATAATAGAGATGGAGAGGCATAGAAGAGAGGGAAAATGAGATTTGATTTGAGAGAGATTACTAATGGATGGGTCAGTTAAACGGTGCGTTTCATAAACTAATGGATTGCAACATTTGCTTTAGATATTTGTACATAGGATAAGGTAAGATTTAAAGGGTGATACATTTTTAGTATTATGAGATTACAAAAGGATAATGTGAGACTGCAGTTTTATCTTATAGTGACATATGACTTTTGTTTGTCTTTCAGCTTATTTTGTTCTTATTATAGAATGGTTGTGATTTATTTTTCTTCTTCAAATCTAAAAGCTATAATTTGATACTACATATATGCATGACGTAATATATAACTATTTAGCATTAAATACATTGCGTTACCAAACATAGCTAATGAAATGGTAAATTATCAAAATGTCCCTAAGACACCATAATTCCCCTAAATGGTCGTAAATCATTCAAAATGCATATTAAATTATACTAATGTATAATTGGACTCTAAATATGCTGAAATACATGAAAATGACATGTCATGAAAATGATGATGTGACATTGACATAAAAGATTTTTGCCTTGCCAGTTAGACATATTCGTTAGGTTATATTATAATCACAATTGCGTACAAAAAAAAAAAAAAAAAATGAGACTAGCAGTTATCTTAATAAGTGACAGTATGAACTTTTTTTTGTTTGGTCTTTTCAGCTTTTATTTTGTTTAATTATAGAAATGGTTGTGATTTTTATTTTTCTTCCTTCAAAATCTTAAAAGCTATATGAATACTACAATTATGCATGAACGGTAATATATAACTTATTTTAGCAATTAAATACAATTGCGTTACCAAAAAACCATTAGCTTAATGAAATGGTTACAATTTATCAAAATGTCCCAAGGACCAAACCATAATTCCCCTAAACTTGGTCGTAAATCATTCAATGTCATATTAAAATTAATACTAAATGTTATAAATTGGACTCTAAATAGCTGGAAAATACCATGAAAAATGAAACATTTTCCCATGAAAATGGATTGATGTTGGCAACATTGACATAAAAGATTTTTTGCTTGCCCAGTTAAGCATATTTCGTTTAGGTTTATATTTAATATCACAATTGCGTACAAAAAAAAAAAAAAAAACGGAATAGTGGTCCATTAATCATTTAGAACATGAAAATTCTTATTTTTAAAAAAAAAAAAAAAAAAACGAAATAGTGTCATTAATCATTTAGACATGAAAAATCTTATTTTTAGTAGTAAAATTGGACATAATATCTAAACGCTAGATTTTATGAAATTCAATGATCATATATTATTAATATTTAATCTTTGTATTTGAGTGCGTGCATATATAGTTTGAACAAAAGATTTGGAACCACTTTTTTCCATTCAAAGATTTTTTTGAGTTAAGAAAGAATTATTTCATAATAAATGACGGTATTAAAGAACTAATATTTGAAGGTAGCAACTCAATTAGAAATCTTAATGATTAATACTTTATAATTGACATTAAAAAAAATAATATTTTGAACTTAATTATAATTCTAATATTACAATTAAATTATAACACTAAATAATTAATATTTGAGCTCAATTATTATGACAACGACTAATATTTATATTTAATATTAAAAATAAAAAAATCACATTGAAATATCAAACTTTAATAAAAAAATACTAAAGATTAATATTTGAATTCAATTAGAAATCCTCATATGTAAATTTAAATTTAATTATTAAGAAATATTAAATTATGAGTATGAATAATAAGTCAAGCAGGTTCTTAAAACTAATGCGTATTTATTAGATTTCACCTGGAAATAGATCATTTATTAAGAAATCTAGCTTTAGATTTTAAAAAGGAAAATTTTTATCTCTTCACCAAACAACAAATGGAAGTTTATAGTTACCACATATTGAACGAATGAGTATGTGAAGATCTTTCAAAAGAACGAAATATGGTATATCCAGATATAGTTTTTGTTGTCTTTAAAAAAAAGGATAAAAGATATAGTTTTTGTTGTAGGATTACTATTCACATATTAGGCATGGATGTGTTTACCCAAATGTATAGATTTGCTATTGACGTTTACGTAATTTACTTTTGAAGTTTACGTGATTTGTCTTGTGGCATCCTCAAGCCAAAATAAAATGTAAAATTTTAGAGTTATGATTAAATTTTTGCAAAGTTATTTCATTTTAGGCATGACCATAATTATTATTGAAATATAGAAATATAAGATTATAAAAAATCCCCTGCAAATTTGAGGGTGCCACGATGAGACTCGCGTAAATTTTAGAGCGAAATTTATGCATTCGGCTTTCATTCTTTATATAAAACCTCATAGTTTGGATTGCCTCAAATCGCATTGCAAATGACAAAATTGAGATCGTTTAATCTTGCATTATATAACCCAAATATCCAAATTATTGGGTTTAAATATTTGTATCTAAAAAAGAAACCGTCTTTTGCTTTTATTTGATTAAGAACGTAGGCTTTAGATGTGCCTTTAGTTGTAGCCTAAAAATAGCAATGTATTGGGCAATGGACAATAAAGGGAATGCCTTTCATTTCCTATATACACAAAAAAATTCTTCTACTGTCTCACATATACTAAGAGTATTTTCAAAATAGAAAAAGAAAATTTTATAAAACAATAAAATAAAAAATTCAATAATTAATTTTATTTGATTAAGAACGTAGGCTTTAGATGTGCCTTTAGTTGTAGCCTAAAAATAGCAATGTATTGGGCAATGGACAATAAAGGGAATGCCTTTCATTTCCTATATACACAAAAAAATTCTTCTACTGTCTCACATATACTAAGAGTATTTTCAAAATAGAAAAAGAAAATTTTATAAAACAATAAAATAAAAAATTCAATAATTAAATATTTTGTAAAGGAAAGAACATATTTATAATAAAGCATTATCATAATTTAACAACTAAAAATTTTCATGAAAATAAACTTATTTTGTCAATCAATTTAAATGTAATTAACTTAATTTTTTCGTATATAATATAATACCATAAACTATTTATACCACTAAAATATGAGAAATTAATATTAGCTATTAAAATAATTCATAGAGCATCGTTTATAATTTTTGTATTTTTTTTTTTTACTTTTTTTATAATGTATATGAGGATATAATTAGCTTTACGGTTGCTTTTTTTTTAGAAAAAAATTCTTTTAATGTGTTATACTATAATTTTATATTATAAAATTTTTTATTTTATATCAAACAATAAATCTTATAACATATTCCTCAATATATAATAACAAATTATATTTATTCTTTATAGAAATAAGTTACTTATATAAAGTAATTATGATCGATCAAGATTCATTAAAAATAATAATTGATAGAAGTAAAAATAAATGAGAAAATAAATTAGACCATGGATTAGAAGTAGAATGTATTGATAATTTTTTTTTTTTTTTCTCTCTTTATAGTATAAAAGCAGATAAAGTAGCCATTGTCCTCGGAGAAAAAGCTATCAAGTACTCTCTAGGTATCTTAAATGCTTCCTTTGACCTTTGCAATGCATCCTTTGACCGAACGTTACAAATTCTTCGTTGATTTTGTGATGTTAAGTATAGTTGTCTATATTAAATACATTTAATAGATTTACACATATACCCTTGATTTATTTATTTATTCTATCAATTAGTAAACATATTTGAATCTTATGTTTAATACATATCTTATATAATATAATATAACCAAACAAAATTAAATTATCTTTATTTTTTTAAAAAATAAAATTAAAATCATAAAAGATAT